TGGGAATGCATCTCCTCACGATGCTCCACTGTGGACTAGACCCTTAGGTCAAAGGCTCCGGGTGTGGTCCCCTAAGAAAACCATCTGCTTTTGTTTAGGCACCCGGGCAGTATCTCAGCCCACGCACTAAAACCATGATGAACTATTTGCTTATGGAAGATATTCCTTTCTTTCTTAACATTGAAATAACTCGTACTATTATTATTATTACTCTACCACGTCATTTATTCACCCTCTCTTATTCCTACTTTATGTATCCGTTTCGACCTAGACAGCAGCTCACCTATGGTGAAAATTCAGCTTTATCTAAACGTTCTCGAGTCACTGCCTGGTTGAAAATTGTATGTCACCACCGAATATGAGTACTGAAGCAGTTTTTCTGAAACCACGTGCACCATTCAAACTGGCTGCCTTCAACGTTCGCACACTTATGCAGGTCGGACAACAGATAGGGCTGGCTATGTCTTTGGAAAGTCCTAATATCGACGTTTGTTGTCTATCCGAGACCCATATTCAAGACTGGTAGAGTAATACAAGTTCGCTCTCCATCTGTCGCTTCAAAAAGCTTGTTTTATGTGCGTTTATCCGGGGACCCTGTGGCATCTTCGTCTGGTCATGCTGGCGTTGGTGTCGCACTAAGCGCAAGAGCTGAGGCAGCACTAGTCGACTGGATCCCCATTAACAGTCGGTTATTTGCTGTTAGATTAGTAAGTTCCATCAAAGTGAGAAGAAATCGGCGTGAGAAACGATGTCTTTTCGTCATCTCCGCCTATGCCCCGACAGATTGCAGCCCGGATGCAATCAAGGATGAGTTCTACCACCAGTTAACTGTTCTTCTCCAGAAAGTGCGCTCGACAGATATTGTAGTACTAGCCGGAGACTTGAATGCTCAGGTCGGGCGTCTAGGCACAGAAGAGAGTCGTTTAGGTGGCCGATGGGGACTCGTTGGTCGCAGGACAGATAACGAGGGCCGTCTACTTCAGCTGTGCACAGACCACAACCTGTCTCTGGCTAGCACTAACTTTCGGCACAGTCATCGCCGATGTGCCACCTGGCGTCCCCCTTCTACATCTCAAGCCTGGATACAGATTGACCACAGCGCGATCAGCTACCGCTGGCGTGGTTGTATACAAGACTGCCGCTCTTTTTGGAGTACCTATCTGGAATCTGACCATGCTCTGGTCTGCGCCGATCTCACCTTACTTTTCAGTGGACAACAAAGTGACCGCCACCGAAGGATTGATGTTAGCAAGCTGGCTGCAACTTCTGTTGCTAGTAGGTACCGAACCGAGCTAGCTTCTAGGCTAGCCACCATTCCACCGAAAAGTATAGATGAGCATTGGTTGCAATTGCATGACGCCATGAAAATGGCGGGTCAAGTCTGTTGTGGGTTCACGAAACGTCCCGCTTACAAGCACTGGGTTTCTTCTGGTTCCTTACAACTGATTGAAGCCCGTCGGTCTACTCCGGGTGACCGTGAGTTTGACCACAGACGAAGGATTTTACGTAATGAAATCGGGCAAAGCTTGCGTAAGGACCGAGAAGCCTGGTGGTCGGAGCGTGCTAATGAGTTGGATGCAGCAGCTGCATCTGGTAATTACCGGAAGCTCTTCCAACTCATCCGAGCCACTGGCAGCAAGAAGTCTGGTGTGAGCAAAACAATCTGTGAGGATGACAGGATGCCAATCACTAACATCCATCGACGTCTTGGACGATGGGCAGAATTCTTTGAAAGGCAGTTCAACTGGCCTGCTGCTCCGGCAACATCGGTCAGACTGTCCTGCCCTCCATGGCCGGTGACGACTGATCCAGCAAATGAGGCGGAAGTCCCCAAGGAACTCCAACTCTTGAAACGTTACAAGTCACCGGGCCCAGACGACTTACCTCCGGCTCTTTTTAAAGATGGTGGTGACTTTCTGACTAAGGGATTGACGACGTTGTTTGCAAAGGTCTGGGAACTAGAGTGTGTACCAACGTCATGGAATGAGTCGATAGTTGTCCCTATCTTTAAAAAGGGTTCACGTCGTTCCTGTAACAACTATCGGGAGATAAGTCTACTTCCGATTGCGTCCAAGCTATTGGCTTCCGTCATACTTCGTAGGTTGTTCAGAACCCGAGAAGGATTGACTCGCGAGGAGCAGGCTGGGTATCGTTCTGGTCGAGGATGTATTGATCATATCTTCACCCTCCGCCAAGTGTTAGAACACCGCCATACTTATCAAAGGCCAACAATCGTAGTGTTTCTTGATATCAGGGCTGCCTTCGATTCATTGGACAGAACTGTTCTCTCGGATTGTCTGTTGAAGATTGGTGTGCCTGAGAAGTTTATTACCATCATAAAAGCCCTATACACAAACACCTCAGGCGGAAAGAAAGCATACAACCACCTCTCCATTGTTCCATTCAAGCAGTGGAGTCAGACAGGGTTGTCTAATCTCACCATTTCTCTACAACTTTGCTACCGATAACTTTCTGGGAACGGCTCTGATGGATGTAGGTAGTGTTTGTGTGGATCTGTTTCCTGGAGAAACTTCCCGACCTTGAATCTGCAGATGATATTGTCTTACTGTACGATGATACCCAAACCATGCAATCCGAACTTAATCAGTTGGCATATTAATGTCCGTAGGTATGGTATGTGCTTTGCACCTTCGGAGTGCAAAGTACTTTATCAAGACTAGCAGGACCCTGAACCTACACTGAATCTGGGTATTGAGCACAGAAAAGTAGTCGAGAAGTTCATGTATCTAGGTAGCTGCATAAGTGCTGGTGGTGGCGTGAGTGATGAGATCAATGCACGTATAGTGAAAGCCAGAGCGGCTTATGCCAATCTGGGCCATCTTTGGCGCCTTCATGATGTTAGTCTGGCTGTAAAAGGTCGGATCTACAACGCGTCGGTGAGAGCAGTTTTGCTCTATGCTTGTGAAACCTGGCCTCTCCGAGTTGAGGATGTTAGACGACTCTCTGTGTTTAATTATCGTTGTCACCGAAGGATTGCTGATATCCAGTGGCAACACTATGTCAGTAATGCAGAGGTTCGGTATTGCGTTCGGGCACAGCGACGATAATTCAATGAGTCATTATCCTGCGACATTGACTTTGGTGGCTTAAATGTCCCACGAATGTCGTCCCAGAAAATGCCACGTCGTGCATTATTTGCCGACTCTGGGACTGGTTGGGAAAAGCGGAGAGGCGGTCAGTATATGACATGGTGTCGTGGTATGAAAGAAAGCTGCAAAGGACTAGCTTCTGTTGGTCCTTCGCGACTCCCTGGCTGGGGTCCGAGAGATGTTGTAACACAGTGGCTAGAGAAGTTATCAGATATGGCTCAGAATAGAAGCCAGTGGCGATCCTGCTGTAACCTTCTTTTACTTTTTTCGTAAAAAGTGGTTGCTTCTTCCTTAACTGTAAGATTTCCTCTGATTGTACCTTTCCGTTTTCCCCATCATTGTTCTCTCTCTCTCTTTTTTTTTTTTTATAATTCCCCACGTTCATTACCTTTTTTTCTCCTTCTCTTCAAATTATCATTGTTTTGTGTGGCGCATATATATTTGGTGCCCCCATGTACCAATATTTATGTGTTCAAATAAATAAATAAATAAATAACCTGGTACACAAACAATCGGTTCTAGTTCATGAGTGGAAGACGCTATAGCAACAAATCACGGTCTAAATAAAAGCTCAGAACCAGTATAATAAGACCAAAATACTTAGTAAAAATGCAATCAATATATATAAATAAAACCGAAGAAAAATAGTTCCAAAGGTTTTTATCTCATAGTTAAATCATCTCTTGTAACAGTTAACCTACAGATACGTCCAAATCTGTAGACAATTTCCCGACAATACTATTGCTAAAACTAATAAACAGACATTCAAAAAGAATACGTATTCCAGTCTGATACTTTATTATATTCTTACGACTTACATAATACATAACTTTTCTTTTTGTTTATTTCCTACAGTTAACAAATATTGATTTTTAAAGTTAAAACTCCACTAAATGTTGTACAGTAAGTTGTATTTGAAATGGTTTATCATACAGAAGTCTTGCGAAAAAAACAGATAGAAAACTACGTTCTAGAGTCTTTCTTTAAGTTATTAGTTATTCAGCGAAATGGATGGAAAATAACATTATGCTTTAGCATCTAATTTAGATCGCGTTGATTAAACACAAAAATTCTGGTTTTATAGTGCATACTGATCACATAAAGGCTACGATAATAAGCAGATATAAAGACGACTCAAAATAATAGTCGACTTTCATAAGTGACTGTCTATAGAATTGGACAACTGACTCGACACAATATTGTTAAGAACCTTCCAGTCTAATTTATCTGATATTCAGTTGGCTACTTCTACAGTAATAACCTTCCTTTTGCCAAAAACGATGGAAGAGGTACTTTTCAAACTGAAAAATATATGGAATGGTCACGGTTATTAATACCATTTACTATAAAAATACGAAAGTATTACTTTGGATACTGTTGTTTTACATTATAGATCTTTATCTGAACGGCGCATATATATTTGGTGCCCCCCTGTACCAATATTTATGTGTTCAAATAAATAAATAAATAAATTTATCTGAACGGGCTATCAGGTATGAAACAATGTTTCTTCAGAATAAGTACATAAATATCTGTAAACTTAATATAACGGGGATACGGATACTTAGTATGAATTTAACTTAACACTTAATGAACTACAGAATATCGACCTCGTGCAACAAATAACATAATTTACCGATTAATAGCCAAGCGGAGATTTATCAGTCAACCAGTTCATAAAAACATGCAAATATCTGTGACAGAAGTTTTTGTTACGTATCTTATGCAAAATGTGAACACGTGCAAGTTCCGAGACCCTTGTATTATTAAACAACTGGTTTTTTACAAATGTGCGACGAGATTACCTTACAAAAACGTAAATGTCTGTTCTTCAGATGTACTAATTTATTGTAAAACTGTACTGACAGAAAAAGTAATCTTGACGAGAATGAACTATATTTTTACAAATTTACGACGGGAAATCCTTTTATTTCGTCTTAACTTCATTTGAGGGATGCTACTATCGTTGAAGTTCCGTTTGCGTAAAATTTTGTCGATTTCATCTGATGTCAAAGGAAGATCATCTGCGATTTGTGAAACGAGTTCTTTCGGTAATCTTTTGAGTGATTTTTGAGACTTTTTAGGTTGACTAACGATTGGCGCACCATCCTCTGTGTTTTTTAGTTTCTTAATAAGTGTATGAGATCTTCGATGGACAGCTTTAGGAAGACTTGATAATTTTTCACTTATTGTAGTTAAAGGTGCTTCTGTTTCATCGTAGTACAAAGGAGTGGAGATACCTGAGCTCTGAATGTAAATAGAACGGATATTTGCCATACCACCACCTGGCCATTCTGAACAGATTTTTTCACACTAAAATGATAAACAAGAAATTTAAAAGATTGATGTTTTAAATTAGTGATTGTACGGAAACAATAAAAATGTTAGTTTTCATAATAGTCACACTGATTATAGAACTATTGGGAACCTAGATAGCGATCCATTGAGTGGTTCATAAACTCAGTATTTCACGATCTAACGACAGTTCTTTTAGCTGGTGATAAGTAGAGTCGGAATCTATTGTTAAATCCTTTATAATTTGTCAGCTTAAAACATTTCTACATTATAGGCTAAAACCAGATAAGGAACTGTTAAAAACTAAGAACCGGTCCTGGCACGGCCAAGGGTGGGAAGAGTCCTCTCTCCCTCTCTTTCGAAATGCTCTCACATGGACACACGTATACAGCCACTGCCAGAGAAGTCCTACTCACTGCCTTTCGTGGCGGAGGTTCTGTTTACGAAATTGAGGACGAAAAGCGAATGTCCAGCGCTTCACCCGGGTTGGTAAATGTGGAGGATCCATCTAGGGAAGTTGGAAAACCCTAATTTCAAATCAATGGTGTACATAGGTTCCAGAATCTTAAGGGCATAAAAGGCGCATGAACCTACTATTGGTCACTGGGTACCATGGGATTGCATTTCCTGACGTTGTGGATTAGACCTTTAGGTCATAGGCTTCGGGTGTGGTCTCCTAAGAAAACCACCTGCTTCGGTTTGGGTACCCGTGCAGTATTCCAGCCCTCATACAAACCAAATGATTATTACTACCGGAAAAATTATTCCTGCTTCAACTCGTACTCAGATAAACCCCACTCACAATCATTTGATAATATTCGTTCTTATCGCTTTTATTCTCCTTTATTCTCATTTTGCACATTTTATTTTTCAACTTAGTGGCTCGCCCATGGCGGAGACCCTGTCCTATCTAAACGATCTCAAGTCACTGACTGGTCGAGAGTTGAATGCTACCACCGACTACGAATACTGGAAGTCTTTCTCAAACCACGTATACTATTCAAAATAGCTTCCTTCAACGTTCGCACATTGATGCAGATCGAACAACAGATAAGGTTGGTTATGTCATTACAAAGTCTTAATACCGATGTTTGTCGTCTATCCGAGACTCGTATTCAAGACTCTGGTGAAGTACTACAAATTCGCTCTCTATCTGTCGCCTCGAAAAGCTTATTTCACGTTCGTCGCGCTAGAATTGAGGCAGCACTGACCGATTGGATTCGCAGTTGGTTATACGCTGATAGATTAGAAAGCTCCACCAAAGTGAGTCAGTGTACGAAACGATTCCTTTGAACATCTACGCCTACGCCCCGACAGATTGAAGCTCGGATCCTATCACGTATGAGTTCTACCACCAATTGTGTTTGACATATATTGTAGTACTGACCGGAGACTTGAATGAAAAGGTCGGGCATCTAGGCACAGTTTGGATGGTTGATTGGGACTTGTTGGTCACAGGTTAGATAACGGTGACCACCTACTGAAACTGTGAGCAAACTACAACCTACCGGCACAGACATAGCCGGTGTGCTATCTGGCATCCTTGTTCTGCATCTTAAGCCTGAACTGATTACATTGCAATCACCTATCGCAGGCGTGATTGTGTACAAGCCCGTCGCTCCTTTTGAAGTAACTATCTGGACTCTGATCATGAAATGAAACTGGACAAAACTCGCGCAAGGACCAAGAAGCCTGGTGGTCGGAGTGTGCTAATGAGTTGGAAGCAGCAGCTGCATCTGGTAACTGCCGTAGGCTCTTTCAACTCATCCGAGCCACTGGCAGCAAGAAGTCTGGTGTGAGCAAAACAATCTGTGAGGATGACAGGATGCCAATCACTAACATCCATCGACGTCTTAGACGATGGGCAGAGTTCTTCGAAGGGCAGCCCAACTGACCTGCTGCTCCGGCAACACCGATCAGACTGTCCTGCCCTCCATGGCCGGTGACGACTGATCCACTTAACGAGGCGGAAGGAACTGCAACTCTTGGGGCGCCACAAATCACCAGGTTCAGATGACTTACCTCCGGCCTTTTACAAAGATCGTGGTGACTTTCTGGTCAAGGAATTGATTGAGTTGTTTACAAAGTTCTGACAATTAAAGTGCTTCAGCATCATGGAATAAGTCAATAGCTGTTCCTACCTTTAAAAAGGGTTTACTTCGTTTCTGCAACAACTATCGAAGTTCAAACTATCGACTTCGATAGTACTTCGCAGATTGTTCAAAACCCGAGAAAGATTGACTCGCGAGGAGAAGGCTGGTTTTCGTTCTGGTCGAGGATGTATTGATCACCTTCACCCTTCGTCAAATGTTAGGACACCGTCATACTTATCACAGGCCAAAAAATTGTAGTGGTTCTTGATATTCGTTGGAATTCCACCTGGAGTCCCTCCGGGGGCTACTGCCGGTCCCAAGCCCGAATAAAGGAGGGGGTTGGGCATGGGGTTAGCATCCCCATCCCGTAGGAAACTACCTCGCTAAAAAAACGCTAACCAGAAAAAATAACTCAAACCATTTAAACTCTTCCCTGGGAGTTAGAAGGTCCTCATTTAGAAGAAATATGACGCCTCATGACGAAAGCCGAGCTCCTTCGGAAGTCACGAGGTCGATGCCCCTTCTGACAACCAGAGCAACCATTTATTTAGGTACATGGAATGCTCGTACAATGTGGGAGACTGGGAGAGTCTTCCGAATTGCTGCAGAAATGAGGAGATACAACCTAGAGGTGCTTGGGATCAGTGAAACGCATTGGACGCAAGTTGGACAACAACGACTAGCTTCAGGGGAGCTGTTGTTATACTACGACCATGAAGAAAATGCTCAACATACACAAGGAGTTGCATTGATGCTGTCCAAACAAGCACGAAATGCACTTATAAGATGGGAATCTCATGGACCAAGGATCGTCAAAGCCTGTTTCAAAACAAAGGAGGGTATTTCAATGAACGTCATCCAATGCTATGCGCCTACCAACGACTACAATAAGACGCTAAAGATCAATTCTACGGTAGGCTGCAGTCAATCGTCGAGAAGTGCCCAACAAAGGACCTGACCATTCTGATGAGAGATTTAAATGCTAAGGTTGGAATTGACAACACCGGATATGAAGAGATCATGGGACGACACGGACTGGGAGAAAGGAACGAAAATGGTGAGAGATTTGCAAACCTACGTGCCTTCAATAAACTGGTCATAGGTGGCACCATATTCCCACATAAACGCATCCACAAAACCACATGGACTTCACCGGATCACATTACGCAAAACCAACTCGACCATATCTGCATCAACAAAAAGTTCAGGAGGACGATGGAGGACGTGAGAATTAAGAGAGGAGCTGATATAGCATCAGATCATCACTTGCTGGTCGCCAAGATGAAATTGAAACTCAAGAGGCACTGGAAAACGGGGCGGACAATATCACAAATGTTTTATACGGCTCTTCTTCGGGATAATGACAAGCTCAACAAATTCAAGATAGCCCTCAGCAATAAGTTCCAGGACTTTCATGATCTACTCAATGGAGAAGGAACGACTATGGAGAGCGACTGGAAAGAGATAAAAGAGGCAATCACTTCAACATGTCATGAGGTTCTGGGCCAAAAGAAGCACCACCACAAGGATTGGATCTCTGTTGATACACTGGATAAGATTCAAAAAAGGAGGAACAAGAAGACAGCAATCAATACCAGCCGTACAAGAGCAGAAAAAGCCAAGGCACGAGCTGAATACACAGAAGTAAACAAGCAAGTGAAGAGGAGCATCAGAACCGACAAACGTAAATATGTGGAAGATTTAGCAATGACGGCGGAAAAGGCTGCCAGAGAAGGAAACATGAGACAACTGTGTGACATAACAAAGAAACTCTCTGGAAACCACCGTAAACCAGAACGACCAGTGAAAAGCAAGGAAGGCAAGGTAATCATCAACATTGAAGAACAACGAAACAGGTGGGTAGAACACTAAAGAACTCTTGAATCTACCAGCCCCACTGAATCCATCCCACATCGAAGCAGCTCGCATGGACCTCCCAATCGATGCTGGCCCACCAACAGTTGGAGAAGTCAGCATGGCCATCAGACAGATCAAGAGTGGCAAAGCAGCAGGACCAGACAACATTCCAGCAGAGGCACTGAAAGCAGACGTAGCGGCAACTGCAAGGATACTCCACATTCTCTTCAGAAAGATTTGGGATGAGGAACAGGTACCAAAAGACTGGAAAGAAGGACTTCTGGTCAAAATACCAAAGAAAGGCGATCTCAGCAACTGTGATGACTACAGAGGCATCACTCTTCCCTCAATACCCGGAAAAGTCCTCAACAGGGTATTGTTAAACAGGATGAAGGACTGTGTAGACGCCCAATCTCGAGACCGATAGGCTGGATTTCGTAAGGATAGATCGTGTGCAGACCAAATCGCAAATCTACGGATCATTGTGGAACAATCAATTGAATGGAATTCATCGCTCTATATCAACTTCATTGACTACGAAAAAGCATTTGACGGCGTGGACAGAACACTACGGAAGCTTCTTCGACACTATGGCGTGTCTCAGAAGTTAGTCAATATCATACGGAATTCCTACAATGGATTAAACTGCAAAATCGTTCATGGAGGACAGTTGACAAACTCCTTGGAGGTAAAGATCGGTGTCAGGCAAGGTTGCTTACTCTCACCCTTTCTCTTTCTCCTGGTGATCGACTGGATCATGAAGACGTCAACATCTGAAGGGAAGCACGGGATACAGTGGACAACTAGGATGATCTAGACTTCGCAGATGACCTGGCTCTTCTATCGCACACACAACAAAAAATGCAGAAGACGACTAGTGTAGCAGCAGCTTCAGCAGCAATAGGTCTCAATATACACAAAGGGAACAGCAAGATTCTCCGGTACAACAGAGCATGCAACAGTCGAATCACACTTGACGGAGAAGATTTGGAAGATGTACAAACCTTTACATATTTGGGCAGCATCATCGATGAACACGGTGGATCTGATGCAGATGTGAAAGCGAGGGTCGGCAAAGCAAGAGCAGCATATTTACAACTGAAGAACATCTGCAACTCAAAACAATTGGCGACCAACACCAAAGTCAGAATTCTCAATACAAATGTCAAAACAGTTCTACTGTATGGGGCGGAAACCTGGAAAACCACGAAAGCTATTATCCAGAAGATATAGGTGTTTATTAACAGTTGTCTACGCAAAATACTTCGGATCCGTTGGCCGGACACTATTAACAACAACCTACTATGGGAGAGAACAAACCGGATTCCAGTGGAGGAAAAAATCAGGAAGAAGAGCTGGAAGTGGATAGGACACACATTGAGGAAAGCACCCAACCGCGTCACAAGACAAGTCCTCACATGGGATTCTCAAGGCCAAAGGAAAAGACGAAGACCAAAGAACACATCACGCCGGGAAATAGAGATAGACATGGGACAAATGAACAAGAATTGGATGGAACTAGAAAAGAAGGCCCAGGACAGAGTGGGTTGGAGAATGCTGGTCGGCGGCCTATGCTCCTTCACGAGGAGTAACAGGCGTAAGTAAATCGGTTCGTTGGACAGGACTGTTCTCTCGGATTGTCTGTTGAAGATTGGTGTGCCTGAGAAGTTTATTACCATCATAAAAGCCCTATACACAAACACCTCAGGCGGAAAGAAAGCATACAACCACCTCTCCATTGTTCCATTCAAGCAGTGGAGTCAGACAGGGTTGTCTAATCTCACCATTTCTCTACAACTTTGCTACCGATAACTTTCTGGGAACGGCTCTGATGGATGTAGGTAGTGTTTGTGTGGATCTGTTTCCTGGAGAAACTTCCCGACCTTGAATCTGCAGATGATATTGTCTTACTGTACGATGATACCCAAACCATGCAATCCGAACTTAATCAGTTGGCATATTAATGTCCGTAGGTATGGTATGTGCTTTGCACCTTCGGAGTGCAAAGTACTTTATCAAGACTAGCAGGACCCTGAACCTACACTGAATCTGGGTATTGAGCACAGAAAAGTAGTCGAGAAGTTCATGTATCTAGGTAGCTGCATAAGTGCTGGTGGTGGCGTGAGTGATGAGATCAATGCACGTATAGTGAAAGCCAGAGCGGCTTATGCCAATCTGGGCCATCTTTGGCGCCTTCATGATGTTAGTCTGGCTGTAAAAGGTCGGATCTACAACGCGTCGGTGAGAGCAGTTTTGCTCTATGCTTGTGAAACCTGGCCTCTCCGAGTTGAGGATGTTAGACGACTCTCTGTGTTTAATTATCGTTGTCTCCGAAGGATTGCTGATATCCAGTGGCAACACTATGTCAGTAATGCAGAGGTTCGGTATTGCGTTCGGGCACAGCGACGATAATTCAATGAGTCATTATCCTGAGACATTGACTTTGGTGGCTTAAATGTCCCACGAATGTCATCCCAGAAAATTCCACGTCGTGCATTATTTGCCGACACTGGGACTGGTTGAAAAACGTGGGGGGGGGTCAGTGTATGACATGATGTCATGGTACGAAAGAAAGCTGTATAGGACTGACTTCTGTTGGACCTTCACGACTCCGCGGTTGGGGTTCTAGAGATAGTGAAACACAATGGCTAGAAACGTTATTAGATATGGCTCAGAATAGAAGCCAGTGTCAATGCTGCCGTAACTTTCTTTTACTTTCATAAAAATGAACGTAACTTTTTTGATTGAAAGAATGCTTTCTGATTATACGTTTGTTAACTGAACTGCTTCTCCCATTATTATTATTATTAATAATAACAATAATAATTCACTCTCATACACTAATTTCTGTCCGTTGTTCTTTTTTATTATACGCACTTTATCTCTTCACAAACTCATCGCTATTGTGTGGGGTACATGTATTTGGTGTCCCCTTATACTAATGTATGTGTTCAAATAAATAAGTAAATAATTGATAAAATGTAAAAATACTGAGTTGTACTACGGTGTAAAAAACACCATTATAATTTGTGGACGAAATCAACTAATATGATTTTGAGCCCAGTCCATAAGGCATCTTATTCAACGCAAAATATACATTGAGCCGTTCTAACCGGTAGAAGTAACCTGAAATTTTGTTCACCGCGAATGCTTTCGTAACGTCTGAGTACCTTAGCTGTCTTGGTTGGGGTGACCGAATGACTGAGTTGCATCGAATTAAAGACCTCATAAACAATGAGCCGTTCCAATTTACATATAGAACTTGATGAAGGAAATTATTTTGACCCCCCCCCAATTATGTAGGTTCGTTCACTGTTTTTGGTATGCAACATCTTCGTTAAGACAAATGAATAAATGCCAGTTATTCAACGATCTTTAAGTGACAATACGCTGGTCACTTAAAACAAGAAAGTAGCAGAAAGTAACGCGTAAAATAGTAAGTCTTTCGTGAGTACCTACATATCTGGAAATAAACAGGATCATTATTTCTTATTACTACTTCAAAATAGTTTAGTCATTTCAAGCAGTGTACAGATATGACAAGCAAGCAACAAGGCGTGTCATTATACTTCAAACATTTAGGACGTGAAATCGAGAACAGAAATTTTAAAATTACTTACAACCGATATTACATTCTCCTTTAACTCGGATGAAGAGAAAAAATTATCCCCAATTATGAGACTATCAGTTGTCCCATTGCCTCGAATTACGAACAAAGATGTATGTAGTTGCTGTCGAACAGTATCTACAAGATTATTGTTCGAAAATGACGTTGGGACAGGAAATTTTCCTGAAATCTCCTGGTAAAATGGTTTACCCAGTTTATTTTGTAAACGATGAACAATTCGTTTGTCGGCAAGAAATATATCAAACGTGGCAGCCAGTCGACGTTTGGCAGCAAAAGTTTGGTAAGCTACTTTTAGTTCCCGCAGAGGTAAAAATGTCACGTCTGGTGCGTCTAAGTGAGAAAGTTCGGACTTTTTCAAATCCATGTTCCAACGCCGTTTCCAAGATTCTGTAGTGCGTTCATAATCATCTTTGCGAAAATCTTTAACTATCAAACAGATAGATAGATTTTTTGAACGATGTGGTAAGTTTACACGAATAATTTTTGGAATGGATAATTTGCTTATTACAACAAGATGAACATTGTTAGGAATTAAGTTTAGAGTTTTGAGTTTCCCTTCAGGTTTCTTGAAACTAATATCTGTGATGTTATTTAAATTTTCTTTGATAATATCCATCTAAAAAATAGAACTGGTTGATTAATTACAGTAAATCAGAACCCAAGGAGAAGTAACTACTATTATGGCTAGAAACGAAAACCGGCTGTCCAAATTTGTTATGGTTACAATTCACAAAAAGCTGAGTGGAAAGACAATTCCACCAAGCTGGTCACGATCACAGATAGTTTAAATTAATGAGGCTGTTCCATCGTCATGACGGTAGAAAAATTGGAGCAACCAATTTCGAACCAAGGATATTGACTCCTGTAGTTGCATAATCCTTGACGAAGTCTGGACAACCATACAGGAGAAAGCCAAACTATTTCCAAACCTGAACTTAAATTCATTAATCAAATATTTAACGTTCGTCCTGCTTATGCTCACAAGTGTTTACTGAAAATTACCTCAGGTTGTATTCCAAGATCTAATACCTGTATTTGACACGTTATTCAACCAGTTTTATGACTATCTGAAAGGTGTGCAAAGAAGTACGTTAACCATCAAAAAGTTCTACTCTTACATTTTCAAATGGAAATATGGAATTCTTTTGGACTCATATTAAAAATGATCATTAGAAATGGCTGCTGGTCTGGATAAGATGCTTGGAACTATTATTATTCGAAATTTACTCCAATAAATAAAATACCATAACCTACTATGCGCTCAAAGTAGTAAAAGGAATGGTAAAAATTAGTACTCTAATCAGTAAAATATAGTGTCAAGCACACGTAAGGTGGAACAGAACCACACACAAAACATGAGATCGACTGTAGTAGAAATGGGGTTTTTCGCAAAATTCAGCCCCACGTGCCTCGTATGGATCCGTTTCTATTCCTGGGTTCAAATATACTGGTGGATATCACTGATTAATATATTGCAAGTTCGCACATTTCTATGAGTAGCTTGGGTTTTGAGTGACGTTTTAGATACTGAGACTAATGCAGATATCTGGGTTTGGCGGAGTGATACGCCGTGAGCACTACTTACTGTAACGATCAATACGAAAAATGCGCAGTGAAGCAAGCCTTCAATCCAATATCTAATATCTTTACCATGAGCTCGTATAACCGACTGATCTGTTCGCGCTCATTTCTTGTCGTTTCAGTAAGACTCCAGGCATTCGGTAACGTCCATTGTGGTTACTCCAACCAATCGATTGCACTAATTCTAGTCAGTGTGGTAGTCATTTGTGAATTGGTATTTCTTGTAATTTGAGTGAGTGTATTCGCCTCAGGGAAGTGGGGTTTATGGGTGCCATCTTCTATCTCACTGCTAGGCAAAAGGTTTGGTCAGTTGCAGTTTTACAATAATAAAGTGGTAATTCCAGTGCTATAGGAAGATTCTTGTCTCAAGAACAAATAAATAAGCTGATTAATTAGTGATACAGACATTGTGGGAAGACGGAATGGAAGAGTGGTTTGTCATACTTAATATGTCGTATGTCATTAAAAGTTCACCTCTTATTCTCCTGAGGCTCAGCGAGAATAATCCCAAATGTTGGAGTCTATCCTCGTAAGATTTGTATCATGGCTCTATCACCCAGTTGGTTGCCTGTCCCAGAACATGGTCTGAAGATTTATGTTTCTTTTGAAGGGAGGAGGCGCAATGACATTCTGGACGTCAAGATAAGTCTGTGCATGTGTGAGGAACAACTCTGGGATGACTGTTCCAAGTTTTCCACGGTCAATGTGGAAGGATGAACTAGCCTTGACTGGATCATCTGTGTTGTTCAAGCTGGTGTTTAAACTCTTCATAATCACAAGCCCAAGATCACACTCTAAGGAGACAATCGGAAGGGAATTCCGATCGGATGTGTAGGTGCTTCTCCTCAAATGAGACAGAACCGTTATAATACAATATTTCGAAGGGTTAAGTTTTAACCCATTGTTTGCCGTCCATTCCTCGATTATCGTGAGGTTCTTTTTGAGGTTTAAGTGAATCCTTTTCGTATTTTACAGACCTAATTTTCGCGTCGTCTGCATAGAATAGTACCACTGAGTTAATTTCATCTGACAGATCATTAATAAAGAATAGAAGCGGACCTAACATTTCGAAACTCACTAACGTGCTTGCATTCTATTTACCTAGGTACAGAGCATTAATTCCTCCAAGTAATTTCGAAGTCAGGATAAAAATGAGTCAGTAACGTCAATCTCTGCAACCTTTGATAATATAAGTATATGGAGTACTGTATCAAAGGCTTTCCTGAAATCAAGAGATATTATTTGAACCGGTATCTTTTGGTCCTAGAAGGTTGTCTAACCGTCCCATGATATGAGAAGATTGAATTGATATGACTTACCTTTACTAAACTAGTGTTAAGGTTCATTGAGAACGTTTCTTTTAGTAATAGACACCTCAATTGTTCATTTTTCAGTACTTCCATTACCTTTAACCGTATTGGATGTTGTGCAGCTGGTCTGTAACAGACTGGAACTTTACCATCGCTCTCTCTGAAGACTGAAGAGAGAGTGAATTGCTTCCATCCTCTTGGCAGTTAGTGTGACCCTCGTGATTGTCTGAACAGGTATCAGACGGGTGCACTTATAGGCTCTGTGCACTGTTTCAGGATTATAGGTCGGATGTTGCCACATACTAGTGACTTTACTGGGTGTGAATCTAAACAAAAACACAACTCATTCATTCATTAACACTACTGGACTGAGTTCAATACCCTTAAATCATTGTGATCGACAGTACCAGTCAACTAAAATCTACAGGGAAGGCTTTATGTGAGAGGTTCCTAGCTATCCTAAGTTTTGTATCTCCACACTGTACGATAACCCACCACATTCTTTACGAATCGGCATTTTCCTTGCAAAACGGAAGTGGCTACTGTACAGGAGGTAAGAAATGGGATAAAACGTCCAAGATTCCCCATACTGTCAGTAAGGTATGAACCTTGACAGAAGTTACACCTGTGAGGTTTGTTCTAGGTGCACTTACCTATGCTACTAAGATAATAGACCTTATCCAATAACGTGGAGGTGCCATGACACAACTACAAGGTTACGAGGCACCTAATATTAGATTTTCGTTCATTCGAAGCCTATATAAAAGTGTAGTTAATTCGTCAGGATTCTGCTGGGACTTAATAAAAGTTTAGGAAAAGGGAATCAATCAACCGTAACATTACCAATCATCCCATGCTAAACACGTAAGCTATCAATCAAATTTCTCTGCACAAATTAACAAATAAATCCGAAAGCTGCTATAGCTCAGCAAACATGTTAAGGACTTGTGCTCAACAACAATTTGTGAATTATTTCAGTAGGAATACCGAAAAATCAGGAATATATATACAAAGGCAGTAGCTAGATTCCGTTTTATTTACGAAGGGCATTCGGCATGCGATTGCTGCACATGATCAAAATGATAGTTAAAGCAAGAAAACGTAGTAAATGAGTTACCCGTTACTGTTGCGCGGGTATCCTTATAAACTACCCGTGATCACACTGCTAAGATACCAGCCAAAGGAGCAGTGCTTGCGACTAAGGAAGCTGTTCTTCAATAACTTATTCACCTTGAAATTGTTAAGTCACGAGGCACTGGTTTGTTATAAGAACAACTGCTGAGGTTTTTTCTGGACATTATTTCAGAATCACTTACAGAACTGTCCAACATGTCGCTTTCTCAAACTCGACTCCCTGAGAATTAGAATAGCGCTATCATTAGCCATTTCTTCGTGTACGGAAAATGACAGGTCATGTCTGACTGCCGACTCTTCAGTCTAACTAACATAGTAGTTGCGGCATTTGTGAAAATAACTCCGAATATGCTACTAAATCATACAGAATCATACAATCTGTCAACCGCTTGAGCAATACGGGATTCGGAATAAAAATTCACGCTACACAAATTACTGACTACGAGAGAGTTCTGGACACTAGACCAAGATATTGTCTTGTCTGTTAATGTGAAATTCATAAGTTCCAGCAAAACATATGATATGCCCTCTCAATAAAGATCTGTGCAGAAACTGTCAGGCTTTGGAACAACAGGTGCGAAACAAGAGTAGATGAGAAACCTCCAGTGGCCGGAGACGGTGGGGGAAATTGAGACAAAATCTAAATGGAAACGGATTAGAAGTGGTATACCCCAAAGTATGTCAGTGAATTGCCAAGGCTGGTTAGGTTGTTGACACTGTTGGTCGCAGACAACTTCAAATCTGGAGTGCAAAAGTAGTGAGACTGGTCAACTTGATATCCAAGCTTTTCCAGACGAATTAATCAGATGGTCTTAAAACTCATGTTTGTAAACTAACCTAGAAACAATGTGTTAATACACAGCAGGCCAAAATAATGTTCACCAGTATTCTGGCAGCGGTACGCCTCTACGAGGTGCGTAGGAACGAAATGACTTAGAAGAGATGGTAAGCGATTCCTTGAAAGTAATTGCCCATTGTGATCCAGCTGCTGTCAAAGATTTCCGAGTGTTGTAGTCACTTCGTCGGGCATTCAAATGCTTTGAGGAATCAATGTTTTAGGCTTCACACTCCACCTACATGAGACCTCATTTGGAGTATTGAATTCAAGCAGTTAGTATATATCTGGCTAACGATGCTAGCATAATCGAGCATGCTTAACGCATGGAAACTACGTTAGTGATCGATCCTTCCGAACTCTAACATGATAAGTGCTCAAAACGCTTAAAGCATTTTCCCTAGTCGTAGAAAGACAGATGGTTTTATTATGGCATTCAGTATCCCAACTTGTTATCTGAATGTTATCATGTCGTATCCTCTTGTATCCTCCAGAATCAATCATATCTGAACCCACACCAAGAAGGTTCAAATAAACCCATAAATATAAATGAAGTGTATTGCCTAAATAAATATTATCACCCAGTTTTTCAAGTAATAATTGTTCTATCAGTAGTCAAATCCAAATTATAATAAACAAATAAGTTGGAAAAAAATGCAAGAGAATTACCAAGTGCAACAAATAATTCTCATTCTATCCTTTCTGGATAGCTCACACTGACCATTTTTGTCGCGTTACAACACAGTGTTTCCAATTCTAGAAGAGTGTTTCAACACAATCCAAAATGCACAATTCCAGTCAGAGCAAGCAATACAATAAAAACAGAACAACACACTACGGCGGCCGCGAAAACTAAGTATCAACTAAAAGTATACAAATGTAGTTCAGGAAAAAAATACGAAAACCACTGAAGGCATAATGAAAAAAACTATAATAAAAAACAAGTATTACCATAACAAATGGAATCAAAAAGATCAATAGAATGCACAAATGGAGGAATCAATAAGAATAAAAACAAGTGCATACATTGAGAAATATTCACATACAAAAACTTCAAAATGGTCCTTACCATCTCGGAAAACCCTGTACAGAAAGATTTAATGTCAATCAATGTAAGGCTCATACGGTTAAACAGGAAGGAAAGCTTGAACCGCTTTGAATTGGAGGCATAAAGAGCATACAAAAAGAATCGGCTGAATGAACTTGTAGAAATACTGTCTATTATGATACTAGCACTGCTCTATTAATAGACCTAATCCTAAAATTGTAGATTTATCATGATGTAACTGCCTAATCTATAAGATCTTACGTGGAAGTTACATCATCGCCTACACCAATTCATTGCATTGTAACAATTACCAATACGTGATAGAGAACAAGCTTAGGCTAGAGATGGAACAATATATTTAATATGAATAAAAGACATAACGTAACATTTAGCAGGAGGGAGCACGCCTGCATGGTTGAGCCATGCCATAAGATTAACTCGTATTAATCAATTTATTATTCCCGCCTTCTCCATTGTTGGGTATTCCTCCGCGTTAAATATTGAATATCTATTTTCCGAGTAGTCTCGTGTTCAGCTTTGAGGATTGTGTGGTTATGATCCGATGCCACTACACTACTCTCCCATCAGAATCAACGTGATGTTGGTTCGATACCAAATTGGATGGGATTGTCGCGCGCCGGAGGTTGCCAAAAATGATAAGAATCCACCAGGTATTGGTAAGCTGGAAGATAAATCAAAAA